TAACTCTTATATCTTCTGAGATCGACGCGTTCATACATACGGACGGACGGACGGACAGGCACACGGACAGGGCCAAATCGACTCAGCCCGTCGTCCTGATCAAGAATATATATACTTTGTGGGGTCTGCCACGCCTCCTTCTGCCTGTTACATACTTTTAACAAAACCATTATACCCTGATTTCCCATTTTCAATGGGTTCAGGGTATAAAAAGGGAAAAAAGCAATGGACCCAAATGGCTACCCTGAGGTACACCAGACGAAACAAAGATCAGTTTAGACATAGCTGTTCTCAGCAAGACTCTTTGGGTTCTACCCATTAAATAGGATGAAATCCAAGATACAAATCTAGGTGAAATCCTAAGCCTTCAAGCTTAAGAATTAGTATGTGATGATGTACTGAGTCAAATGCTTTACTGAAGTCAGTATAAATAACATCAGTTTGCATTTTTTTAGAGAAACTGTCATTAACAAGCGAAGTAAACTCAAGTAAATTAGAGGACGTTGATCGATTTTGAACAAAACCATGTGAGATGGTTGAATAATCGATTTGCAAAAATGCTGCAAGGCCGATGTTATAATTTTCTCAAATAACTTCGGAATAGCAGATAATTTCGCAATGCTATTATTATTTAGAAATATCAGATCTTCCACCTTCAGGGTATAAACTGAACCCATTTTCAATGGGAAATCAGGGTATAATGGTTTTGTTGAAATGTACGTAACCGGCAGAAGGAGGCGTGGCAGACCCCACAAAGTATATATATTCTTAATCAGGGCGACGAACTAAGTTGATTTGGCCCTGTCCGTCTGTCCGTATGTTTGAACGCGTCGATTTCCGAAGATATAAGAGCTAGAGACTTGAATTTTTTTTTTCTTTTAGAATTCGATAAATCATCCCATTATGTTTTTATCGAATAAAAACATTCAAGTTCAAGTCAGATTCCACTACAGCTGATTGTGAATGATTTTTCCTTTTTTTAAATTTCTCAAATATTCAATATAATATGTAGATCATATGCTGAAAGTTTCATTGAATTCCATTCAGTTAAAAATTAATTAAAAATCATCAAATATTTGGCCAATTAACAAACGCGCGTGCAGCAGCTACAACAGCATCGTATGCTGTTAGTTTGGTTTAGTTTTGGTAGATGGCGCTGCAGCAGTGAATCTATTTGAGTTTTGCCAGCACAGCTTCCAAAAGTGAGGTGGCGTAGTGTGTTAACGGCGATAGATGCAACTGATGTTAATTTTTTTGTTTCAAAATATTTTAATATTTTTATAAATGAGTTTTCTATTTAATTTATATTTTTAAATACACCGAAATTGAAATTTTAACCATACTAAATGTGCGTTTTTAAAAGTTTGGTTATTCTAGCAGATTCTTAGAATCACATCAGCAGTTAGTTTGGTTTAGTTTTGCTAGATGGCGCTGCAGCAGTGAATCTATTTCAGTTTTGCCAAAACGGCTTCCGAAAGTGAGGTGGCGTAGTGAGTAGTTGCGTGACACTCGATCGAGAAGTCGCGGGTTCGAATCCTGAGCGGTGCAACTTATGTTAATTTTTTTAATTGGCTCAAAATATTTTTATATTTTATTAAGTGAGTTTTGTATTTCATATATATTTTTAAATACATCGAAATTGAAATTTTAGCCATAGTAAATGGGCATTTTTATTAGTTGGGTTCAGGGTAGTATCACTAACCAGAGAACACATAAACTAGACAACTAGTGGAAAGTTTTTTGCACGCTTTTTTTTGAGGCTTTAACACCCCAGACAGCTTTGGACTCGCTCCTTACTTTTAGGTTCGAGCTACGAAAAAATACGAACGCACAATCATTTCGCTTCATGCGCTCGACCGAGATGGTCAAATTTTGAACATAAGGTGTGAAGAGTATACCGAACTTTTCAAACCGTTTGCCAAGCTCCTACAAAATATTTGCGTTTTCGTTATTATTTGTGGGAAGGGTATGAAAGCGTTGGTGCTCATAATGAAAATGCTTTCGCAACGAGCGTGCACGCACACACTCTCCCTTGCTACATGTACTATGAGCATTTGTATGCCTGTGTGCGAGGCTCTTGCTGCCTCTAGCAATTTTAAAGCCCAGCATTTGCATTAGGTCGATCTTGTGAACTGCTCACACTTACATACATATGTATGTTTGATTGTGTGTACGCAGGGGCCGCGATGCTCACAAATGATGGGGTAATCATTGTAGAAGCATTTGAGCATTTCAGTGCCTTTATATGTATGTGCGTATGTTTGTGTATGTTTATGTGTGTATGCATGCGACATGAGCATTGACGTGTGCCTACGACAACTTAGAATTTTGTGAACGATTTTGGGTTTTAATTGAAGAGAAACGGCAAATTTTGGGCTGATAATAGACGAAAATACTGAGAAAGAATTGAGTTTCGCGACGCACGCACACAAAAGCACATACACGTAGCAAGGATGTAAATGTGTGTGTGCATGCTCGTCGCGAAAATGTATTCTTTCTGTGCACAACAGCCTTTGCAAATTATAAAGCCCAAAATTTGCCGTTGGTCTGCCTTGTGAAGTGAGCACATGCATAAATACATTTGTGTATGTGTATGCTTGTATGGGATGGCAAGCTAATTGTCTCTGGATTTAGTAGTTTGTAAATTTTGTATTATTTGAATCGTAGGGTGACTATCAAATGGGCCATTATGACTTAATTAGAAATTTTTGACAATAATGAGTAAAGCTTGAGTATAATATGACATGTGTATTTCATATATTGCAAAGCATTTAATAAAGTTAGTAGTGTTTTACGATAATTTTTTCGGTTAAAAATGTGTATAAAATAATTTTAATTATATATAATTATTTACGGGTATAAACACATTTATAAACATGATTAGCAATAATAATATATAAATGTACTTATGTACATATGTATGTATGTTCATACATAGTACATCTGTGTAAAGTGGTTATGACAGTCCGTAAGACCGACCAAATGCAAATGCTGGGCTTTAAAATTGCTACAAGCAGCAAGAGTAACGCACGCAGGTCACAAATGCTCATACATGTAGCAAGGGACTACAAGTGTGTGTGTACTTGTCCGTCGCGAAATCATATTGTTTATGCGTATCAACGCTTTCATACCCTTCCCACGAATAACCATCGAAACGCTTACATTTTGTTTGCATGAGCGTGACAAATGCTTTTATGATTTCGGTATACCCTTCACTCAAGAGGAAAGAGCTGGGATCGTCGCGAACAATATTCAATTTTTGTGCGCTGCTGCTATTCGAGACCATAGAGAAAGACCATAAAGAGAGGGAGAGAGTGAGTAAGGGAAAAAGAGCGCATAGCCGTGCTTCATTTGGTAATGTGTGCATTTCGTGGCAGCAGTCGCAGCACACTGATTTTGTCGTGCCTTATTTTCACTGCTTGAGCCTCAGAAGACCGAGCCGACCAAATGAGAAGTTGTCCGGTTTCTTCAGCGCATTTTTTCGGTGTTGAAAAAGTTTGTTCTACATGTCTAGTCTATGTGTTCTCTGGTCAGTGCGTAGATTTTGGAACCTGGCTACGTAATTATCAAATTTTGACTTGCCATCTTATTTCACCTTATTTCCACCTTATTTCGTGCAGCAGCATAGTAAAACTTTGAAACCGTATTTCCGCTAACCCAGTAGATATCCAAAAAATTTAAATGAGGTCTTATTTATTGGTTATTCATTATGTATTAACGCACTGCATTATTTTTCTATTCTATTTAATAATATTTAAAATTAAAGAAAATTAAAATAACTGGCCTTTCCCATGCCACAGCTTATTTTGTGCACTTCACTTTCAATGACTTTATCGGGTATTGTCCAGTCCTGGTTGATCTGGAACTGTCCAAATGTGGTCAATCCACTAGCCCAGTGGTGATACCTAAACTTCATAGAAAATTTGTGGGAAAAATTGGGCGTGGCCATTCGGAAAGGTAAATATCCAATCAAAATGACTTCAAAACGGCCCTATTAGAGGAATGGCCAAAAATCTCCAGAGAAGTCACCCGAAAATTGTTAAACTCGATGGAATCACGCTTAAAAGAGGTTATTAAACAGTAAAGAGGTAAAAAAAATCTATATTTTAGAATTTTTGGGCAATAAAGTCATTGAAAGTGAAGTGCACGAAATAAGCTGTGGCATGGGAAAGGCCAGTTATTTTAATTTTCTTTAATTTTAAATATTATTAATTAGAATAGAAAAAAATTGCAGTGCGTTAATACATAATGAATAACCAATAAATAAGACATTTAAATTTTTTGGATATCTTTACTGGTTTAGCGGAAATACGGTTTCAAAGTTTTACTATGCTGCTTCACGAAATAAGATGTGAGCCACTGTATGTATCCATCTATGAACTTATCTCGATAGATCTGCCTATCGCTCTGATAGATTAAGGTACATACATACATATATTTGCTTATGTACGTAGATACATATATACATATGTATGTATACAGAAGGTAACACCTTTTATTTATATTGTAGTTGATATTTTTTATTATCACTTCGATTAGAAAAAGAGAAATTGTATTATGTCCGCATGTGTATATTTTATAATCGTACATACAAACATATGTATATTGTATATATAATTCATTAATTTAGCACATTCCGAATTTCAACATTTTTATGCAATTAGCATAAATATACATACATACATATGTATGCATACATGCAAATTAAATACATACATACATACACATGTATATAGATATGTACATATTTAATTTTTTTAATACACTTGTGTATTTGGCTGCATGTACATACATACATATATGTATGTATGTACATACATATATGCGTTCACAAATTACATATTATAGAATAGAGAAGATAAGATCGAACATAATCAATTTTGCAAATGATTAAAACACAGTGTAACGAGGTGCAATTAAATACATACATATGTACATGTGTATTTATCATGAGTTATATGTATATTAAAAATTACGTAGGTAAATTAAAATGTACATACATATCTATGTATTTAGATAAATCACCCTAGATTCTTTTTATAATATAAGTACCGATGATCTCAACACGTTGAATGAAAGCTTTTTATTTTGCTAAAGCACCGAGTTAAAGTCGAACACTAAATAAACTTTTACTTTACAGAACTGAATAGGAAAAAAAAAGCTTTTTTGTTATAAAGAACGAGCGAGGGTCTATCGTAAAGTACATACAGTCGACTTTCGTTATTTCGAAGTTCAAGAGACTCTTAAAATAATACCACTAACCATAGAACACATAGACTACACATGTAGAACAAACTATTCTGCAGCAGAAAATGTTAAGTTAGTGGACCACTATACTTCGTATTTGCTCGCCTCGGTCGCTGGAGGTTCGAGCAGTGAAAATATTGCACAAAAATGTCAGTGCGTTGCAAGCGCTCAAACGAAATGGTCCCATTCTTATATGAAGCACGGCTATGCGCTTTTGGTCCTTCTCTCTCTCTCTATGGTCTCTCAAATCACCGAACTCAGCAGCGCACAAAAATTGAATTGAATTCGCGACGATCCCAGCTCTTTCCTTTGAGTGAAGGGTATACCGAAGTCTTAAAAGCGTTTTTCACGCTCATGCAAACAAAATGTAAGCGTTTCGATGGTTATTCGTGGGAAGGGTATGAAAGCGTTAATACGCATAAAGAATATGATTTCGCGACGGGCAAGCACACACACATTTGCAGTCTCATTATTGCCAAAATTACTGATGTAGGTCATGAAGGCTCATTTGACAGTCACTCTACAATTGAAACCATACAAAACTAACAAACTAGTAAATCGCGAGACAATTATCATTCCATCTCACACACATATGTATGCAAATGAATGTGCTCACTCAAAGGCCAATCAACGGTAAATTTTGGGCATTACATTTCGCTCAGGCAGCAAGAGTTATGCACACAAGCCACAAATGCTCACACATGTTTCCAGAGACTCTCAGTGTGTGTGTGCACGCGCGTCGCGAAAACATTTTCATTATGCGCACCAACGCTTTCATACCCTTCCCACAAATAATAACGAAAACGCATGGCAAACGGGTTGAAAAGTTCGGTATACTCTTCACAAAGAAGAGAAGGCATGGGTTCTCGCTGCGAAGAAATTTCAATTTTTGTGAGCTGCTGATTGTGCTCACATGCACATATACACATTTGAGAGAGCAGAGAGCATCGAGAGAGAAAGCAAGGGAAACATTGAGCGCAGAGGCATCTTTTGTTCAACAGTCGACCATCTCGGCCGAGCGCATGAAGCAAAATGATTTTGTGTTGCCGAACCTAAAAGTGAGGAGCCGAGCAAATACGAAGTGGTCAGGGAACTAATGCTCGAAAAAAAGTGTGCAAAACGCTTTACACTACTTGTCCGGTCTATATGTTCTTTGGTTAGTGCATATATGTATCATTTATACAATTTTGATTTTTATTATATATTTATTTATATCAGAGCTCGCAAATGAGAGTTGATCGTTTTCTCGTATATGCTTTGCTTCGTATCATAACCGAAAAGCTTGTGCAGACACGATCTCGCTCTGAGCGACACTCTTTGTTTTCTTTAGAATCTGTTTCGGTCAGACGCATTGCAATGACTTATTCGTAAGACGCTCTCAAATGAGTGTCACGTAAAGACTAATACGATTTTCGCTCACACAAAGATTCTCAGCAAAAGACAGTTTGACTAAAAAACTCAACAGAAATTATCTTTGCCTTCGTGTGCATGTAAATACATGTATACATATGTACATACATAAAGGAACGCAACAATCGCGTGTAATTACCCATACAAACGCAATTGACAGTTTGCTTCATTTAACTCAAGCAAACGATCTTGAGCGAAACGAAAACAGAAATAACTGTCTCGCTCAGAGCGCGAGCGACCTAGGCCAGACGCGACAAAAACAGTTTCTGTCTGAGTCTTTTTGATTGTGTCAGTGAAAGACACTTAATTGCAGACAACGAAAAAGTGTTAACAGTTATTTGCGAGCTATGATTTATATCCATATATTGGATACCGGCTTCAAGTTAGCAGCAAATCAGCGCGATTTTCCTATACATGTGCACACACTCATCGTCTATTCTATGCGTACAGACAGAAGCGCGCCTTTTAGCACATTCGTAGAATTTCGATTTATTTCTGGATTTTCCAGCCGTTACTGTAGTATTTATTCTATTTTAGCAACTGGCTGATTAAGCAAAGCAGTAGAGCGTGTGCTAAAGGCGACGCAAGCTATGTTAGGGGAGGTTCGAACTTCGAAACCTCTTCGATGTTATTTTTTTTTCATATATATATATATATATACACGCGCTCATTTGTATGTGTGTATGTATGTACACATAAATGTGTACTCTAGCATATTCTAAGGATCTCAGTTGCGATTGATTTGTCTTTGCATTGTTTTTAAATTTCAGCCGCTTCACTGGCTTTTCTTTGCTATATGGCGTCATAGTAATAATGTTATTTCGTTTTAGTTACTGAGGCTGGAAACGACGGCGATCTTTATATTAGTTATTTTGACAAACATGCTTTTTTCTTGGGTGCGAGTTAAAATCCCGCGGAAAACTCTTTTTTTGTAAATTGTAAATTTGTGTTATTTTAGCTGTTTTTATATTTTTTCAATTTCATACAAATTTTTCTTTACGTATTATGAATATCTATTAAGCTTATTTATATGTACAAATACATGGCGCAATTCAGACTCCTCATTTTTGGCCAGTTCTTAGAACGAGCAACCGGTAACCTAAATGCAAAATTTGAATTCTTACGCTCAAAAAATGTGAAAATTACATTACATTTTTCGATATACACGCCCTTGAAGAGGCGTTAGAATTATTTTTGGGGCATCGATAAAGGCTACCAGTAACTCAACTATCTAAATTTGAAGCTTCTAGCTCTTAAGCTGTAGGAGATATAAGCTTTTGCGGTTTGCCACGCCCCCTATGGGCGGACATATATCTACCATGGCTTCAGGTATCTAGCATCAATAGTGCCTAAAATATAGCAGAATTCGAAAAATCACTATATCTTCAGGTCCGATTTGCCACGCTCCTAGTGGGCGTATATATAAAATTATTTCACCCATCTTTATTGAATCGGCACGTCAGCTCACATGCAAAATTTCAGCATTCCAGACTTATTACTTTAGCAGATACAGTTTTATCCGATTTGCCAAACCCCAATGGGCGGAGATATATCCGCATAGCTCGTGATCTTGGGTGGTCGACGCTGACCTACATACCAAATTTCAGCTTTCTAGCTTTTCAACAAACATTATTTCTGGTATGTCGGAAAATGCATTTTCCGATTTGCCATGCCCCTAGTAGGCGGACCGGGAAAATTTTAACACATTATAAATCGGAGATACACACAAATATGTAAGTGTTCCAAATTTCAAGTCTCTAGGATCAATAGCGCCGAAATAGACTGCGTTCATACGGACGGACGGACAGAGCTAAATCGACTCAGCTCGTCGCCCTGATCAAGAATATATGTACATATATACTTTATGGGGTCTGCCACGCGTCTTTCCGTCTGTTACATACTTTTAACAAAACCATTATACCCTGATTTCCCATTTTCAATGGGTTCAGGGTATAAAAAGTAGTCGCATAAGTCTACACACACTTACTAACCAGCACATAGACGGGACATGTAGTGCAAAGCTTTTTGAACAGTAATATTTGTGTATCAGTTGTGCCCCGGACTTTAATTATTTCGGTCATGCGCTCAGCCTAGATCGACTTTTAAAGGAAGTCTTACCATGCTCAATGTTTTCGTTACTCTCTCTCTCCCAATGTTCATTCATGAGACAATGGGCTGTATGTGTCTGCAAACTCTTCGCGAAAACATATTCGTTATTCGCACTAACGCTTTCATACTCTTGCCAAAAATAATCATGAAAAAGTAAAAATTTTGCATTAGTTGGGCAAATTTGAAGAGTTTACCACCGAATGAAGGCTCCTCTTCAAATAAATAATTATAAGCAGTATTTATTGACATATAGAGGAATTAATTATTTATGATTGGTAATATATATATATATATTTATTATTATTTTTATTTATTTATTTTTATTTAAAATAAGTTTTAACACTTTCGACGTGAAAAAAACATCAATCTAAGTCAATTCGATTTTCCAAAAAAAAATTGCCAGTATGCATTTTGGACTCTTTCATTTTAAGGTGCGAGTTAAGCAAATCATCCATTGTAATAGAAATTAATGATTTATCAGTATTTGAATTTGCTAAATTTGAAGATTTTTCTGGTTTATCATTTGCGCGCATGAACTGTCTCATTCTATAAACAGACGCATTTCGGCACATTTCTCGAAGATCTGAACCAGAAAATCCATTTGTAAGTTTAGCCAAACGGTTAAAATCGACATTACGATCAACTTCTTCAGTTTCTAAAATTAATTTAAGAATTTGGATTCTTTGCACTTCGGAGGGAAGACTAATGTGAAATTGAGCTGGCATTCGGCGAAGAATAGCTTTATCGAGGTCTTGTGGGCGATTAGTAGCGCCCATTACAATTACTGCCGAGTTAGGATTTGTACTAAGCCCATCCCAAAGCATCATAAACTGAGTTTTCATCATAGCAGTAGCTTCATGGTCATTAGAATTTCGGGCACGTAGAAACGAATCAATTTCATCGACGAAAATAATACACGGCTGAATTTTGGCAGCTAACGAAAATACTGCTGATGCAAGTTTTTGTGATTCGCCATACCATTTGTCAGTTAAGATGGCCACATCTAAGTTTATAAACCTCATGCCCGCCTCTTTAGCAGTTGCCTTCGCAATCAATGTTTTTCCACACCCTGGAGGTCCATGTAGAAGTACGCCTCTTGGAGCTTGCCAAAGTTTCGATTCCTTGAATAAGTCACGGTGTCTCACTGGTAGCACAACGGATTCACGAAGATCCTGGATAACTGAATCTAAGCCAGCTATATCGCTCCATTTAACAGTTATGTCAGCTGGAACAATAAGGTGTGATGCAATCATCAACTCATAGTCAGTAAACGTCTGAATATTAACGTTGAAGTTATTTTCTTTGCTTAATCTATAATAAAAATATATAATAACTTTTTTTAGCATTTCTATTATTGTAAATTGAAACAAACCTTTTTAATTGTTCTTCGGCAAG